TTTTTCAATATTTCCTGCTCAGATGAAAACTCAAACGATAGCATCTGGGCGTGGTTTTTACGGGTTTACTAGTTTGATGGCCGAGCGACTAAGAGTGCGTTCGCGGTCGCCACCTCGAAAAACCCTGGGCCTGCCCTGTATTCGTTCGACTGCTATGCAATTTTTTCAGTCCCTGCTTGCAGTGCCGGTAAGTTTGAGGAAAAGGTAGTTAACGTCGGAATCGTTGATAGGTAAAAAGTTGTTACAGAAATTTTCTCAAACAGAAAATGCCAATGGGTGAGGTTTTAAAATATAGAGTTTCGCTTGCAATGAAGCAATGAAATCACCCGACACTACTTCCCCGGATTACGTTCGCGTACACCACTTCCTTTGTAGGGAACCCTTTCGTTGCCACGGGTCTGTACTGCCACTCGGAACACCCCAAATCCACATGCTGCAGAATGAGTGGAGCGGAAATGAGAGCGCCGCCAATGTTAGGAGTGTGTCCCAAGGCAGCAAAACGAACGCGCTCCGAAAATCGCCCCTAGAACCAAAATCGCCCTAAGTTATACCATGGAGGTTATACACTCTCAGAACCACAAAAGGGACTGTGCTAGAACTAAAGAAATTCTAGGGCGATTTTGGATCTAGGGGCGATTTATGTCAAAACCACGAACCAAGCAACGTAAAGACTGCCTGTGTTTTTTGTCTGGCGCATACATTCAAACATGGCGGATCGATCGAACACAACGTCCCGCGCGCTTGTCCCGATAATCGAACGCGCATACGTCAGGCGGCTATGCAAACACATCGATTTATAACTGTTACGGTGAAACTTCACGGCAAAAATCGCAATGTTTTCAACCATACCGCTTGGGGGTGAGTTACTACGTAAATTACGTAAACATTCTGTAGCTAGATAATAATGATTTGTTTTAACAGATATGGCGGCGATAACTGGGTCAGCCTAGATCCATAGCAATGTATTGTTGACCTTTACTGTGGAGTAGTCTTGATATAAAATGGAATGTGTATAATTGAATACTATTTCATGTATTTGAAAAATGTATCTCTGTGCTTTCTCATTAGAAAATAATAATATCTTGGTTAATACACAGTGCGGTTCCCGCAGCGTCCTTGACTACATCAAGGAACGAGTTGACTTTTATTCACCTGATGAGGCCGGTGAGTTTTCAAAGGGTCGTATTATTTCTTTGGATATAATTCCGTTCATGTTAAATTTGAACGCCCCCAGTCAGAAGTTGAACATAACACAAGTATACGTTGGTCCACATCATTGGTATTGTTGATAATCATCGATGATTGTACATATACCACAAATGACAAAATACCTGTTTTGATTATTTGAACTTCTAAGCCCGCTGCACACTGGCCGCTGCACAATTTGGGCGTGATTTGGCAAAAGCGGGCGTGGTTTGCAAAATATGGGCGTGGTCATTTTTGTAACTCAATGTTTTCGTAATTCAATGTTCGTAACTCGATGTCCGTAACTTGAACAATTCAGCATCTCCTCAATCAGTCATAAACTCATCTAAACGCATCTGAGCGAAGATTTTGTATATACTCAATTTAGATGTGTCGGAGCGTGTAGAGTCGGGCAATGTGCAGCAGGCTTAACGAACTTGATTCATGTTTTAATTTATGTTATTCCAGCTAGATTGGATCTTGCTGATGAAGATGGGCAGTTAAAATTCATATCTTACCAGCATGCGATGCGGCCTGTGTGTGATTTAGTACAACCCCGGGCTGTTCTCATTCCGGTCAAAATTGAAAGTAAGTTCCATTCGACCTACAAGGCGTTTGTACACTATAGTGCAAATTGTAATCTCTTTTGAATTCAGGGTTAATGTCGTGTACTTGGACAAGTTAGAGTACAGTTTGCGTTTGGTCACTTGGTCTAGGCACACATAGATGATGTTGTTGATATGATTTTGTACATCGCTGAAATGTAGGATCGATAAATTTCCTGTTCATAGATGTATTGACCTAAAGTTTGTGTACTAGGCCATAAACGCTATTTTTCGCAATGTACGCTCACCGCAAGTGGCTTGCCAGGCTGTGACGGCTGTGACAGAGGCCCTGCCTGGCTGTGGTGTATACACACGCTCGGGCACCATGGACGATTTTAAGCTCACACCGAGGCTCACACCATATAGTGAACACGTAGGTGGTTAGCAGTGAGCAATTATGTGTGTACAGAGTCGGCGGCACGAAATTTTGCATGGGGGGGGGGGATCTGCTCGCCCAACCCCACGACCTTACTAAAGGGGCTGGGGATATGTTCCCCCTTAAAAAATTGAATTCTAGACTCTCTGAAATGCTATTTCCTGCATTTTTAGGGGCAAATTGTGCTGACATAAATCCCCCCCCCAACATTTTTTCGAGGGGACGATCGCCTCTTACCTGTGCCGCCGCCACTGATGTACTTTGTGAGTCCAAACATGTGACGCTGTCACACAAGAATTTGCATCAGGCAGTCGCATTGCGTAAATGGTCGCACTCACGTAAGCATTTGCTAGGAACTTGTATACTCAGTACCAACCCCTCAACGCCTTCCTATCATATACATTATCCCCACATTGTTTCAGGAGACATGGAGACTTTTTGCTACAAGCCTTTCACTCCCCTTGTTGGTGATATGGAATTGAAACCCAAATTTCAAGGTGAGAGTTATATCAATCATTTTTTCTATAACCTCTTTCTTGTTATAATAATAATGATCATAATAATATAATAATGGTCAAAAATATCTTCTCAATCTGAGTATTAGAAGTGTTACATGATTAGTTGCAACTCATGCATCATGATGACCTATGACCTATCGTTGTGAAAAATGTATCACAATATTTTGTTTTTAAAGGGTCACTTATTTTAGTGGTAGCCAATTACCTTCATTTTCAGCAAAAAGGGAGAAAGGGGTTGTCCACAGACATGATTGTGACCATGGCATGACCTCCGATCACTGACAGTTGCTGTTACCCATTGAATAGCGCCAAACAGTGTCAGCATACTAGCATTAAGGTTGGCTGGTTCCTGCCTCAAGTGTCGTGACCTACCAAGCCACAAGAGGTCGGTAACTAGTAATGGATCCGGCATTCTGATTGGTCCATAACTTTTTCGTTGCTTGTTCTATTTCCCTTGGTTACCTGATGTCAGGGGTTTCCTTTTACTCTTGAATATAAAACTGTTTCTTTGTTATAAATTTGCTCAGAAACAGTGAGAAATGCCAGAAACATCTCAAATATGTAAGTCTAAGAAGGCACCATGTTATGCATTTCATTACCTTAAAATAACAGAAATTATTCGACTTCCGGTAGCGAGACTAAATTTGCAGAGAGACAGCATGGAAAGAAGACGGCTAGAGATGGAAAAGATTAGATTAGAAGAAGAAAAGCAATGCCAATTAGAAACTCTCAAGGAGAAAAAAGAAGCCATGGAAAGTAAACCTGATAAACAAGAAAGTCAACGGGACAGATCAAACCTGGGCGGTAACCAAAATCTCAAATGCACTGGAAGTGCTTCACGACCCATTTCAAACAAAAATTATAAAAGACCTTGAAATTTAGTCAGCGATACACTGGTTGCAACTATACGAAGAATAACGTAACGTCCGCCAGGAGAGGTCATGTGATTTCAATACAATAGTTCATTTGTTTGTCTGTTTTTACTTATTTTATAGCGAAGATTAAAGGGTGGTCCTCGCACTGCGCATGTGTGACATTTATTTTGATAGGCATTGATTTTTCCACAATCCAATGCGCTCTTCTAATGGAAATCACAAGTATTAGGTTTTACACGGTGACCTTGGCCAGACTTGCACTAATTATCTCCGGTGACTCCTTCAATACCTTCCAATCTCCTAAAAATACCTAATTAATTAATTAAAGCTTGGTAACGTCTCAGTTTGTACTTGTTGATCTGCGCAACAGTCAAAGTCACCACCTTTGTTTATATAAGACCCATATATATCTCGCACATGTGT